TGAAGAAGCAGTTTTTTGAAGAATGGTGCAACTTTTGACAATTAATAGCACTGTGGCACCTGGTTCTTGGATGTGTACTTTTCCACAGTCACGGCAAACAATAGTCAGTCAGTAACATAGAAGATTTGGTCAGAGATTTCATTTTTCATTATTTGCACAAGAGGCATAGGGGCTTTCGTTCTGCGGCTAGTCAGTTGAGTCACTTTACTTATGGCGAAGCCTTTAACTGCTAATGCACTGGCTATGTCATCAGTCTTAGTAGTGGCGTCAGTCTTAGTCTAACTAACCTAAAAACTACTTTTATAAGTCTTGCATAATTTGCATTTATGACATATTGTTCAATCTTTTTTTTTCCTGGAACAGAGCACTCAGTATCCTATGGTCGTCAGCAGTCCGTGGTAGAATTTTCAGCAATTCCCCATTCACTTTTCCTTTTGGCTTCAATATTAAGTGGCTTCAATATTAAGTGATAAATTTTTTAAAAATTCCTCATGTTTAAGTTTTCCAGGATTTGCCATTATTGGGGGTATACTCTGTGATTGGCTGTTCGTCGGCTCCTGTTGCACTGCCTGTTGGCTGGGGGTAGCATTACTAGCACTTTTAACATAAGCATCATTATTTTCATTTAACAAATTAAAATTTATTATTTGATTCAATATTCAGAGGTATTTTTCCTACTCTTTGATGTTTTGCAGTTTTAGTAGGGAGCTTAAATCCTTCATCATCAACTTTACTAGAATTAATAGTTAATTTACGTTTAGCCTTAGAATCACTATTTTTACTCTTACTAAATACTGAAGTGCAGCTTTGTATTCTATTGCAAAATTTATATAAATAATTGCGTCATTGGACACTAATCAATAACTTTAATAAGTCAGTGTTGCGTGCGTACGGGTTCGTTATGAAATGAATGCACAAAGTCCGATGAAAGATGAACAAAAATTTATTATTATCACAACATAAATGCTTAAATTTTCTCAAATTATCATGCAGTATCACAATATCTCACAGTAGTTATCTTTTAACTACTGAAATGTACAATAGAACGTAATTCAAAACAGCTAAAGAACGCTAATCCGCGAATTCGCTATAATCAACAACGGCAGTTTCTAAACAACAACAAACTAAAAAACTACTCAAACTGAGATGTTTTCCTCATTTTATAAGATTTTAAAATCACGCGCTAGAATTTTCCAGTACTTTCTCGAAATCAAAAACAGATATTTATTTATTTAACGCACGCGCTCTTGTATTTTTAATTTTTCCGGCTTAGCTTTCCTTTAATATTCGTCACGCGCTGCACTGCGCGAGAAATAAAACCATTTAATTTATAATTGAACTAACATTAGCTTTTTAAATACCAAATTCGTAACATCAGCATATTTGTTCACATTATCCTTTAATTTTGACAGTCAAGGATGCAATGCCGTCCCGCGATCAGAAATGTCGATGGTTTCAATGTGAACTGATTTGCTTATTTTCTTTCCACATTGCTCCTCTCTTGTAATGTATAATTGGAAGTTTTATGGTCTATTTCTATGACACATTGCTACTTACTTCAACATTTAAATATTTTCAATAGTTCATAAATGCTTCTTCTTGTCTTATATAGTTTATTGAAAGTTTTTCCATTTTGTCATGTGTTTTACTTCTTATTCATATTATTTTTACATTATTACTGCTTTTTATGTTTGCTCATTTTAACATTTGTCAGACTAGGTCAGGATAACAGCAGCTGGCATTAATAAATACTTGCTCCTTTTAGTTTTGATAAATATACTTAAATCTTTATCAACCAGTTTGTAGAGTGATTAGGGGTTTTTTAAAGCAGGAGATATGAAACATGCAAAATGTCCTCGCCTGGCCTCGAACCTGGAACTCTCGAATACGCGCCGAGTGTGTTAACCGTTACACCATGAAGGCATAAAGAAAGAAGGGAGAAAATACATTTTGCTATAGCTGCATGCGCGTTTTAAAGTCAGTTATGAATAACATATTGGCTTTTTTTTTTCTGTAAATCAGGGAAATCGGCCTCCAAATGGTCAGGTGGTTGACCGCTGATTACTGGGTATTTGATCCGGGTTTCATCCCAGGAAAACGGGCTAGCATCCCTCTCTTTACCCAAATGGCTCTTGTGTGCTTTGCCATATTCAAATAAACTAACCTAATCATGGTGATCAAAGAGGCGTGCACATAATAGTTAGCAAGTTAAGCTTGCTTGTTTAATACACAACCCGCAAAGTTATGCAATACTTATTACTAATGTTTATTGCTTTGTAAATGCAACATCAAACCATGTCTTTAAAACAAATACTTGAATAGCAGCTCTATTCAGGAATGCACGCAAGCTCTCTTGTTACATTTGTGGGAAAAGCATCTGTACACTGATATTGTTAATTGATGTTGTAACGTTCTTCTAGAGGTTCTCTAGTAAATGCAAATTATTTGTATAGATTTTACCCTGCTTTAAGATACGTTCACAATACAAAACTGCGACGACGACAAATCAGATGAAATAAAGTGGGGTAATCCTTTTTAACTGTTATCAGTGCCTAAAAATCCATGGAATAACTGCTTAGTTTCATTGGATTTGTAACAAATAGCATCATCTTGCTGAAAACAACACCTGTATTTTTGTTACGTCAAGAAATATAACAAACTATGTAATGATGTCAGAAGGAAACGTAAAATTATCAAAGCAACATCCTTTTGTTTTAGTTAAGAATATCGATTTCGAGGGTAAAGAAGTACTGGTTCCTCTTTATTAGGAACAAAAAGCGACGGTTGTAGTCAGGTCCGAACAAGAGTAAAACGAACGAGAATGTAGCATCATTTGTCGGAAAAAATAGTAAATAAAACTGAAAAAATAAGTTAATATAATTTTAAAAGAGTTAAAAAGACTGGATTGGAATTAAAGTCATTAACTAATAAAGATAAATCTTTGTGAATGTGAAAAGCTTCAAGAAAATCCAGTTCCTTTATTGTGAGAAGCTTTTTGGATAATTTTTGCAGACCTAAGGCAAAATTTCATTGAATTTCTAACTAAGATTGGCAATGATAGGTTAAAATCTAAGCCAAGCACAAGTTGTTGCTTTGCTATTATATTTATAATAATGTTCTTGTACTCGGTTTTCCAGTTTCAAATACACTGGTGTGCAAAAATTAATGACGAGACGGTTTTTTCAATATAAATTTGTACAAAAGCTTTCCAAATCAACACAATTAATACCGTAAGATCCCCAATACGTAAGGACATGAGTAATGTAAGCAACACGTACTAAAAGAGAAATCAGAGGGAAAAAGAAGCTTTATGAAAAAGTAGCATGGAGAGCATGCGACTGAAGGCCGAAACATCCCTGTGATGGGTGTCCCAGCAGAAACATCCGGTCTTTAATAGGGGATATGATCTCCCCTGACTGCTAGGCAGGTTTCACAGCGTCTGCCCATGCTCAGAATGAGGGTGTCAATGAGTTGTTGAAGCATTGCTGCCCATTCGTCTTGCAGCGCCAATCGAAGCTCTGGAATCGTTACTGGTGGTAAGGTACGAGCTGCCAAGCGTCTGCCTAGAAAATCACATACATGCTCGATGGGATTGAGATCCGGAGATCGTGCCGGCCAATCCATACGTTCAATATCCTCACTCTCTAAGAGCTGCTCGGCAGCTACTGTGCGATGACATGGTGCCTTGTCGTCCATGAAAAGGAACTGCGGACCCATAGCGCCTCTAAAAAGACGCACATATGGAAGAAGAATCTCGTTACAATAACGGGTCCCGTTGACTGAACCTGCGTCGAAGATGTGAAGGTATGTACGACTACCAAGCATGATGCCTCCCCAAACGAGAACACCACCACCTCTATACCTGTCCCTTTCAATGATGTTCGAGGGATGATGCGGCTTCCCCGCGCTCTCTCCAGATGAGTATGCGATGAGAATCGCTACTCAGACTGAATCTGCTCTCATCTGTAAAGAGTATCGTCCCATTCATTATCTCCAATTCCGGTGTTCCCGGCACACAGAGCACGCCTTCTCCGATGGGCAGGCGTTAGAGGTACACACCGTACAGGGCGTTGGTGCAAACAGACCACCACCGTGCAGTTCTTGGCCACGGTAAAACGCGGTATCGGTCGTCCAGTCGCCTGTGTCGTGTGTCTAGCGATTTTCCCGCTGTCTGCCGCCTGTTTCTTCTGGCCTATAAGGCCAGAAGAAACAGGCCTCGTGGACGAGCACTACTAAACCGCCGGATAGCTGTTCCTGTAGTTTGAAATTGTCTCCAAAGTCGTGAAACGATGCTGAGAGCAATTCCGAACTCTGCAGCCACTCTTGTCACACTGCGGCCTTCCTCCAACTTCCCAATGATTCGACCTCGGTTAAAAGCATCCAGATGTCGTCTAACAGATTGATTATTCGCCATTTCTCGCTGAGGCAGCAACTCGGTGTGATTTTAACTGCTATACGGCGTGCAATCTCTTTGCCAGAAATACTGATCTTACACCGACAACATGCTTTATACTACTCAGACACTCCCCCATTACGTGTACCTGCATATCTGCGCATGTGCTACCGTACATCACCTTACTTAATCTCCTGATTGGTCTCTGCCCGCTCTGCCTCTTCGTTCAGCTGATATGCTAATTTTTCGACTTCGTCAATAATTTTTGCACACCAGTGTACTTTCAGTTATGAAAACGAAAGACATAACTCTGCCTGGCAACACAAACAAATACTCTTACGCAGATGTCATATGAGCATTAGACGACAGTGTGTGTACTTGTTGTTAATGCTACCAGAATGTCATCCAGCGATAGACATTACGATTATTACAACGTCAATTTATGAAAGACGCAACGCGACATTTCGATCTTGATTTTGATATAAATAAATAGGTATAGGGTATGTTTCCTAATTTATTTAACCAAACTTGCTAAAATATGCGTTTAGTTTTAACTTTTACTTCATACGTAATCAATGTTTTATACCTAATGTAATTTTACTTTTAGATTGACCCAGAAGAAACAACTGAAGAAGACTTGCAAGACGTAATCGGTGAAATCTTTGGAGGAGAAGGTGGTGGTGGTCAATCATGGTTTAGGATAGCAGGATTTTTCAGTTTCTGCAAGAATTTATTCATCAGAGGATGCAAAGTCATCATAGATGTTTGTAAAGCTGTTTGCAAAACGATATATAGAATCATTACAAACATCGTGAGTAAGGTCTTCAACTGGATAAAATCCTTTTTTGGATGGTTAATATGATGTTGAGTAAGTTGACGCCATTTATATTTTCTTATTAATATTTTGTTAAATATTTCGTGTGGAATTTTGCTTCTATTGTTATGCAAGCAAGTACTTCAAGCAAATAGCTATGCTCATTTTATAACAAAAAATCTGATGTGCACACCATATGACTTCCTTGTATTGGAATATTAAATTATATGCATTTTTTCTTGCATTTCATTTAAAATTATTGGATTGAATTAAATCTACTTCGCCGACAGCGCATAAACCATAATAGAATAAATGCATTCTTTAAAATTCACTCTAGTATTTGTTTACCATAGCGACACTCTGGCGCTAGATTCACTTAACAGTATTAATAATTATATAACAGTTAACATTTATAATAATTTTATAACGGAAACTAAGTTAACTGTTATATAATACAATAATTATATAACAGTTAACGTATATATTTCGTTCATATTATAACTCATAATGCACAAAATTTATATCATTTAAAGAATAGAATTATCTAATCGTTGCCACATGTTCTATTCAAATACTATAATAAAGCTAGAATGCTGTATAAAAGAAAAGCAAACAAAACAAAAAAAGAAGCAGTTTTTCACAGACGATTGAGTATTTCTCATTTAATTAATTCAGTTCTCACTTCGCGACAAAATAAAAATACATAAAAACTCAAAATATAAAGTTACGAAGTAAATCTTAAACACTTATTTCCTCAAAAAATTTCCAGAAAGGATTAAGCATGATTTAAATAATAAATGAAGGCGTTATCTTTGTTGTTGCGAAGCTAAGTTTCTCTAGATTGGCAACAAATCCACTAGTCTCCTGTTTCAAATGTAAACATAAATGCCCGTCATTAAAAAAGGATTAGCGGCAATTAAACAACTTTAAAATTGCTGATAATTCTAAAAATATTGCACACAGATTTACTAAAGGCATAAAATCCTAAACCGGAAGATAAAAACAACATAATTCAATCATTATGAAAGCAAAAAATGTACAATTTACCAACATATAAAGAAACTGAGACTACTGAGCCGGGGTAACAGAGCGAATATATATATAAATATATTTACATACGTTTGGTGCGGCCGATTGCAACCAAAATACGAGGTGCACACCTACATGTTATAGCAGTCCTATATACAAAATTTCAACGTTCTGAGGCTACTCGTTTTTGAGTTATGCGAGATACGTACGTACATACGTTCGTACAGACGCCACAAAAAATTCTCTTCAGAATTAATTTTAAAGCAGTTTTATAATTTTTTTTGAAGTAAAAGAGTATTTTATTCTGTCCTTACGTACAGATATCACGCAAAAACATTGTTAAATTGCATTCGATAGCGGTCAAAATGGATATTTTCGTTGAAATATGCTGCCTGAAACTTTTCGAGATTATTACAATACTTCCTTTTTACTTCGTACAAGGAAGTAAAAATTAAAAAGTTCAGTATAATAATTAGCACAAATGAGCAAAAATACAGTACATACTGCCTATTAGAAACTTCTGAAATCTTACTACATAGCCATCTCGCGAATGATGCAAATTTATCTTTCCTGTCAGAGGCAAGGAAAATTTGTTCCAACCCTCATATTTCATCTTTCGATCAGGAACTACAACTTCTTCTTCGCCCACCACCGTAATAGCAATGCTTTTATAAGTTTAAACTGAGGTTCAACGAGACTGATTGACCATGCCAAATTCCCAAGACGAGGGTCTCCTTTTGTTTTTATATTTTGACTTTCCTACAGGAAAGATTCTCGTGAATTTGTACGCGTGACAATGCCATCCGGAGATTATATGAGGTGCGGAAAATAGCATGATAAAGTTCAAGCTAATTTCAGCAAAAATAGCATCTAATAATAGACATTATAATTAATTATTATAACTTCAGTTCAATGTATTCAAGACGCGACCTTTCCGTCATTTTAACATTCATGTTTGATGTAGGTGAAATATCAAAATGTATATGGTTCGCGGTAAATTTTTGCTTATCTGTGGCAATTATTATGCTGAACTCATTCGTTTGTTACTGCGAAGTATATAGCTGAGATTTAATAAATCTTTATATGGTTGTGAACATTGTAATGCCAGCTTCCATCATTTCCAAATGTATGACTGAATGCAGTCATTGGGTTTAACGAAGATGACCATTGAATAATACAAGCTACACAATAAATCATAATAGAGTAACTAATTATTTTTACTGTGCATTTTTGTTTTACACTTTTTAGGAAAAAATAATATAAATTTTAACATAATTGATTTTTAGGTAACATGGCATATATTCTCATTTTTTAAAATCTCCATAAAAATATTTTTCTTTAAAATCATTCAATCTCTAAATCTTAGATTCGTGAAGGTAATCTAATCACCATAAACCTGACTTCAAAGATACGTGTAGGTAAAACTAAAGAGACTATCACTTCTAGGGAAGCGCGCGCTTACCCGGGACAATTCCGAGAAACGAGATTCTAGTAGCACTGCTTTAAGCGGGAGGCTTCCGAGAAATGTTTCGGCTAGCTAGGAGGAACACGTCCAAGCTAAGAGCAACATTTTAACACTTGTCCAAAAATGTTCCGGCTGGAGACGTGTTCCTCGAACGTTCAACCAATCAGACGAAAGTTCTGCTTCTGAAGGATCACGGGTACTTTTCAATATGGCGATGGGCTCTCACGGTGGAAATAGAGGCCGATTTTATTGCTGTTTTGGTGTAATACAACTGCCTGAGTCATTTTTTAAATGTGTATATATTCATTAATATATAATCGTGGAAATTCAGTTGACAGTATTTTACAACGTTCTTGCATTCGGATTTGTTTAGAAATTGTTCGTCGCCAAAAGTTCGCCAAATTTGTCGTATTTCATGCTGATCGTGTATATCACTGATATATTATAGAATTTTATTTCTTAAATTTGAATAATTTTTTTAATCCTTTTATATGCGCGGCTTTTCCCTAATTACTTATCTTTTAAATTGTTAATTGCATAATCGGTGACACATTTTAACAGCATAAAGATGCATTTAAAAAAGAAAAGCATAACTTATGTAATATGAGAATACTCATTAATTTGTCTATTATTGCATGTTATTATGAAATACTTTTTGGATTTAAATACATTAGAACTGTACTTTATTGTAAATGCTACATATTGAAACTTGGAAATTTTTGGATTTATTATTATGCACGATGAAAAACATTTTATATACTTTCTTAATATAATCTTATTCATTACATTAATACTAATAAATAGTATATTAAACAAGTCTAAACCATCGCATCTCTCTATCTGTATGTAAATATATGACTTTAGATGTGTATTAATAGGTATGTATGAATACAAAAATGAACATTGCCAAGAAGTTTATTTGAAGTTACTTTTAATTCAGATAACGATTATGTAATTGGCAGCAACTATAGTCATCAGTTCTCTGCAAATTATTATGGGTATGTAATAATCAGTTGAAAAATAATTGATGAGTATTTGAGTACTAAAGAGTGTACACATTTTGTTATTGGGTTAATTCATAATTATATCATATGTATGGTCTACAAAACAAAAACATGACTAATAAATATAAGAATGTAACAGCTGTGCATTTTATAACATTTGATTACTTAAAACAGTGCACAACTGATTATCACCTTCATGTCTGTTTACATAATGAATTGCACTTTCCAACTAAGTGCACGGGCATACTAGTGGCCGAAGCGTCGTTGAATACTGGTAGTTCTGTGTCAGGTTAGAATGCCGCAAACGGGCTGGCTACATGGGCGTTTTCTTGGTTTTCCCCAATTTTGTAACTGGTATACGAGCCAATTTTAAAAAATCTTCTACAAAGGGATCCCTCCTGTTAGGCAGATATCTCTCAGGAGGCTTTGCCGTAATCACATAAAACAAACTCATGATGTGCACCACCTAATTGCTGGAGTTGGTATAATTAATGTGTTTTAGGTATATAACCGAGTGTTCTAGGGGACAGTAAATAACTCGCACATGTTTGATTGCTCATGTATTCATATGCTTTAGTTGATCTTCATTTTACTGAATAATCTGCTGGCTGTGAGGATGTAAATATCAGCCATATAGACTTTTGTTATAAGATGTCTTTTTTTTTTTTTTTTTCTGTTTGTTTGTTTGAATGGACAGAACAGTAATTATGAGCCATAAAGTTAGTCAATGTCAGAAGGTGGTCACCATGTCACAAATTTTCCAGTGCGCCATCAAATTTTCATTGCAATGCAGACAACAGAAAGTGCACATAAATAATGTCTGATAAATAGACTTATGCAGCACACGTTTTAAACTATTTTTAGTGTATACAGAATTTGGCTATTACTGATGTAATTGATTACTATAACCAGAAGTGTGCTTATCTGTTACTTGAAGTGCCAGAGTGGAGATCAAAGTGATTAACTTGATAGCAATCACCTTTCTATTATCTTCCATTACTAACAATAAAGTTTTAAACGAAAACCGTGTGAGCGATACAAAACAACACGAAGAAGCGAATGTCACTTAAAAGGAAACTTCAATTTCGCCAATCTGAGCGATAACTGATTCTTGTTTGGCTTTCAGCCTGTTTACCAAGTGAAGATGGTAACCCTATTTCGCCAAAGGGCGTTTCTCAGAACAGTTGCTGCAAACGTTTTGTTCCGGCAACAAATATCGTACGTGATAAGGGTTTAAGTATTGACTCTTGGCATTCGCGGCCTTGCTCGTTCAGGCGAGTTAAATAATTCGAGACGATTTTTCGCATATTGGGTGAATTTCTTACAGCTAACTTAAAATAATTTAACAAAAATGTAATGGCTCTTCTTTATGTCCGAAGATACTTGCGCTTTTGCGGCTGTTTCGCCGGATACAGACAGGATTCTTTGCAGTATTTCTTCGGATTCTGGGCAAGTTATCTATTCTGAATTTTCTGTCGCTTCCACCTGTGCAATGACTATCGCTTTCACATTCACGGTCTATTACCCTGAGTTTTCGCCTTCAACCCTCGCGATCTTTATGACTGCTTTCCTCTTCTCTGCCGTACAGTAGTCTACGCATAAATATAATTTCATTCTTCATCAACGAAAAATCGAACTATCATAATTTAAACCTATTCCTTCACGGTATTCCATGCTTACTAGTTTCCGTAACTTTGAAAATAATATTCTGTTGTCACGATTGTCAAGTTTGAACTAACGTCGAAGACAATAAGACAATGAGACATTTAGATTTGACAATAAATCTAAAAAACGTATTAAAGATTGGGGTAAAATCCTAGGAGAGCCCACACGCTTGGTGACAAACTGGGAAAGTGCAGAATCGTCCAGTGCTTGGCACGTTTCTTAAAATCGCCAACTTGAAAATAACAAGTCAAAGAATTGCACAAACTCGGTACTCATGTACACATTGACCTATTTTCACTTAAAACAATTCAGAGAATTGCGGAAACTTTGCATTGCACATTCTCTTGACTTTGTCCATGTATACATCGATACGAATCCCCAACCAAAGTCCTTCGCTCCAAGGGTGTGGGCTCTAGGTGTGGGCCCTACCAAGATTGGTAGTTTAATACGCATGTATTGTTGAAGACATTCATAAAGCGATATTGCCCAAATCAAACCTAAATAAACTATATTACAGCTCGAATTATCGCTTCAAACAGATCGAGAGTTACCTCATTAAATGAAGGGCCGACCGATAGTCACATCTTGGGTTACCGCATCAAATAAAGTGTCAATGGAGAGTCACCCCTCGAATTACCGGATCAAATCAAGTAGTGACCGAGAGTCACCTCTGAGTCCAAAGTTTTAATACAGTCCAGCGGTGGTTTTTCAAACGTACACGTTGCCCTTTATTCTGGATAGGCTCATTATTATTATTATTATTATTATGTGTGTGTTATTTGTTATTTTCACTTCAACTAATTAATAAAGCTAAAACAAAAGTGCTTACCTTGTTCTCAACGTTTTCATGCCAGGGTCACTGGTTGTTGATCCTGCTCCTTTTCATTTCTGCAATCCTTCAAGATTAATAATCCAAAAATGCTCAATACATTCTTTACAAACACATTTCAATACGACGCAAAATATCTACAAATATATTTGCAGATTAAAGGTTTGGAATTCTGGCACGACGCTGCGTGCAACTTCTCCCTTCAGAGTTCTCGAGTAATCTCTCCCCGTGAGTTCATAGTTCGTAATGACGTCACACAGCAGCATCGGATCTCAACAAGGTTTGAGCTGCAACACGGCTACTAAAATAAAGGAAATGAAAAAAGAGGCAAAATTTTTAAATTCAGCTAGAATTGGGAAATAAGTCATTGACAACTGAAGTATGCGACTTTTAGTCAACGGGAGCTACCAGGCAGAAATAGCTCATTAGGCGAGTCATTACAATACACGATTCGAAGGAATCAGTCCTAAGAGTTTCCAATCGAGATCATGATACATTATTTCTTAAAATTTTGAGAAACCGCGTGGTCTTAATTAATAATTTCGGTAATTTCCTGAAAAATGAATTTTTTATTGAATTGAAGCACCTATTTGACAATCTAAAAATTCACTGTTGGTAAGTACGACATTTAAGTCTTATTGAATGCATTATTTCTTAAACTAAGAGACATTAAAAATGATACGAAATAGCATATTTTAGAGAATAGCAATTTTTGTTGATCCTGCTTCCACATGCATATCCAAACCAGAGATACCTGCAGGAAAAGCGGCCTCATTGTACTGAGATAAATCATTTATTTTTTTTAGCACAGTTACAAATGATTGCATAATAATATTACCGCACTGCGATATTTCTGGAAAACTTACATTTGTATTTATTATCCGCATTCATCTCCGAAATGTTGCCAGCCCGTTGGCAACTAATGTTCACCAAGCTGATAAACAAAAGAAATTTTTGGAAATGATGAAGCACCAAGAATTCAGTAAAGGAACAATGAGTCAATAAAATTAAAAAGAAAGAAACATCTTTAATAAAACACTATTTTTAAGAAACCTTATCTTTTTCAAAAAATACTTTTTTTATTTTAGTTATTTATTTTGCACTAGTCTCTCCGTTTACAAAGTGATCACTTTTCGCTAAAATAAACCAGAGACAAATTGCACAAACGTTGTACTGCGCACGTTATTTTTCGTATCCGTCTGCGCAGCGATCTGATTTCGCTTGAAAACATTGGAGTATAGCACAAATTCCGAAATCTAAAATTTTCCATAAAAATCGATAGTTTAAGAAGATTGTTTCTTCATGGAATGCCAATTTTTGGATTATCTATTTTGGAGCAAAATGCCATATTTCTGGAAAAAATGTAATGCTTTCTTTTCGTTACCAGGCAAGCTTTACATTCCCATTATGATACTTTTCAAGGAAAAAAGAAGGTATAATGCAATAAAAATAAGTACCAGAAATATGACAGTAGAATTTTCTAGGTGGAAATCATCACTTGTCTGCCGCGCGTGCGAGCATATATGGGTAGTCACGTAAGTACATGTTTAAGACTTTATGTTTTACATGTTTTGCCGATGTAGTGCTTTTCCTCGTGAAACCTTCGTGAGTAATCAGAAGAATTATTCAAATTCAAGAAACAAATTGAAATCCAAGAAATAATTGAAATTTAAGTTGAGGACTTAAATTAAGTTGAAATTTAAGTCCTTGTTGCATTCAAAACTGATACAAAGTTGGCCATCGCATGAAGAGGAAGAATACGCTAGGGAACTGGATGGCTCATAATGAGAAAGAAGGGATAAGTATATGACTATGGTAGACACATTAGAGCATCGTAAATTTGTCATGGTGGTGGACACAAAGATAAGACTAATAGTCGAGGAACTGTCCTTTGAAGAGATTTTGCAGAAGATCGAAGCGCGCAGTCTTCTGGTAGAGTTACATAATTGAAGATTTTGAAGTACATTATCAAAGATCTCAGAGGTATTGAAGAACTTTTAATTTAGAGCATATATTATTCATTTTTGCTAGATGCCTAAGACAGGTCGCCTTTCAAGATGTAATTAAATGACGCTAGATGGCTTGCAACATGGCAGTGGCAAATGTCATTGTCATTGCCTTGCGAAATGCTTGTTGTGTCCCCAAATGCCTAAGTTAATACCATGAAGAGTCTCACAAAGCGAAATGTCCAGAAATAATTGAATTATCCACTAAATGAAAACTGAGTTGGAGATGAAAATGAACGTACCTTGCTTCTGCCCTAAAAATGATTTTCGATTAGAATTTTTAACTAATGATTCTGATTATGAGGACCCGTGAATAGACCTGTTAATTTATCACAAGATAAGATTTATGGTGAAAATATATAATCATTCTCTTAACAGAACAAGATCTATTTTCCCTAAAATATATTTGAATTTGTTACACATCATATGTTGGATTAATTTCTTTTTAGAAATTATAAAATTTCAAAATTTACTGCTGCTTCAGCTAACTACGAGCATTTGAATTGCATTGTATTCTAAATTATATAATGCAAAATATTTGTATTTCTTTAAACGAAGAGTTTATAAAAGGAAATACATATAAAAATAAGTTGTTTTTCAACGTATTATGAAGTAAAAAAAAGTTCGAAAATCATATAAATTTTATTCTTCTTTTTATCCAAAATGAAACAACAAAATTTTATATGCAAGTTATCACATACAGATAAAAGAATTCTGTGAAAAAGATAAACTAGTTTCAGAAATAAATGAATTCTCTGAAACTTCGCCGTGCTTTATCCGAAAATAATGAAATTTATCTCATATCTAAAGTACTAATTAAAGGCTTTAAATATTATGAAGTTAATATTTCTAAAAAACAAGCCCTCCTCGCACGTACTATATCTATATACACATAAAAAGGCCTATGTAATGGCAAGAATCTAATCATTAAAAATATTCCATAAGCATTTATTTTTAAATGCTATTTATGAAATATTTCTGCATTCATAAAAATGACATGGTATGTTGTTTTCGAATAGATATTTAAACAATAGACATTGAATTTCTCCTTCATTTTCAGAATAAGACAATTTCTCATATATCCTAAGAGCAGTCGTTCAATAGTTTTGACCTATTGCTCAGAGAACCGGTGTTTCCTGTCGGACGTGAACCTTAATTAGATACATTTGAATTCAAATTATCACAGACAGATCTCCTCTTAGTATCATAATATAAGAATAGAAGAGAAAATGAAGATTAGGTAACATTATTCGCTTGCTTTTGGGAGCATATTACAATGCCACTAAATAATGTCGATCCATCCTATTCTCTCAATTCTGTGTCTTCTTTTAAAGAATTTAAAGATGTGCTTACTTTTTTAATATTAACGATGAAGTGCTATACATCGGTAAAAAAATAAGAACAAAATTCATCTTTTGCCAAAACATTTCATCTCGGACTTCACTACAAACCATACTCTGATGCATCAATTAGTTGATTTTGTTTAAGAGACTGTTCCGATTTCTGGGACACTTTGTATTAAACATTTGAATTTAGCAACTGAATTCCTATCGTGTCTTTTTTTTTTCAGAACTCCTTTCACTAGTTTTGCTGTAAAACATTACAAATCTATTTCTGTTTTAATTTTAGGTTGGAGTACTGAAATTCCAGGTGGAGGTGTCGAATGAATACTCGAACTGCAGTCTCTTGCAACTGTGAATTTTCTTTAAATGTGTAATATTATAAGTATATAATATTACAAATAAAATTTGCTAACATGTTGGACATTTACAAATTTATCTAAATTGCAAATATTTTAATGTCTTATTAATTTTGTGCTTGTTAACTAAAAAAAAAAAAAAAAAAAAAAAATATTGTAATTTTTGTATTAGATAATCAGTTCCATTTATTATTCTGATTTTGTTTGTTAATTCTAAATCTTACTTGCTATCAGATCGCCATAAAACATTCCGTAGCTTTTCGATAGATGCTTCTGTTTATCCATCTTTGCCTAAAAATATATTTGCATAGCTAACATTTTTGGGTGCGTTTCTTACTTCAAATGTACTATAACTTGCAAATTTATTGTGACAAAGCGACTATTTGGATCATTTACATGCATATACAGTGATAATAATAAAATTAACAGGCAATATGTTCTCCTTTAGCAGAAATGATCTCTAGAATGTGCTTTAGACAATGACTGCACTAATTTGTGCATTAAATTTTTACTTCTTTATCATGAAACCACGCTTATATAGTGTTCTTAAGCATGCGCTCTTTGATCGTACGATTCATTTTGCTAAGAAGTTATTTCAGAATATTCCAGAAGTTTTTGCTCGGAATAAAGTCTGTTGAATTTCCAAGCCAGTCTAGATGACTAATTTTAATTTTCAGTATGAACTTTCTGACAGATTTGGAAATGGAGCATAGAACCCACTCATGTTGAAATGCCCTTGCAAAGCTTTCCCAATCCTATGTCTTAAGATTTCTATAAATTCATCGTTCCGTCAATGGGATCCGATTTCTGGTGCCATCAGCAGTGATTCATTTCAACAGCAAAATCGTGGATACGAGAAATTTCGCATCCACGATTTTGCTCCTAAAACATTGTAAAAAATTCAGGTGTCCTTCTGATAAAAACCTTACTGAACCTGCTAAATCAACAAGTCAGGACTAAAATCGCACTTTCACGAGAATTTTTATCTCCATTATGAACTTTATCACTTTAGGATAGAAAAGGTATGCCATTTTCGCACGTGTTCAACACAGGATGTGGTTTTGTAACCAGGGTGCCTGCTGACATGTGTTTCTAACACCTGAGTCTTCAACTGCAAAATCATAAAAAATTTAAAAACAGCATACTTTTAGAATTCCGATACACAGTCTCGCGCGCTGGAGATAAAAATTTACATTTTTCGTACAGTTTTGCCACTGTACTTTGAAATCGTTCAGTTTGTTAATTAAAATTTCATTAAAGTTTTACAAAATATGAACTAGATAATAAAACAAATTCCAGATTCCAAATTCGGTCTTCCAGGTGCTCATGTTCGAGTGGAGGAGTATGTTATTCAAAATATTTGATTGCTTTAGGTACGATTGTTATTTTACAACGCTAGAAACATTCATGCGGATTCTTTATTATTTAACTTCTTTAAATATAATACAAGACGATAATATTTGGTGGCAACAATTTGAAAAGTGATACAACACTCTTAGTGATTCAACGCAAAATGTCGTTTCAAGACTAATTGCCCTTCTGGGCTAATTAAAAATAAATGATTTAGCAGAAGTGATTGTAACAGTTGGCTAGTAGACTTGCGAGCTCAGTGGAAGAACAAAAACACTTAACAATCCTTTTCGGCGACCGTTAAAAATCTAAAAACGTTCAATTTTCTTTTTCTCTTTTTATGAAACTATTATTATTATTACCTATTTATTTTGAAGGAACGTGTCTTCCCGGTTTTTTCTTAGATGAGTTTTTAACTCTTGTAGAAATAGAATATGAACCATGAAGCCTTTTTCCTTGCTCTTGATATTTATTCAGAAAGGTACTATGAAAATATGATTCCAAGTAGTTCCATAGATTCGCGCGTAGTTGATCGTAAGGTTACGTTAATAAATATTAGCAGTAAGTGGCGCTATCTGTTAATGATACGAGAAACATTTAAATATTCTCAAACTCTTGAATTTTAAAATAATTTAAACGGAAAACAGGTATTCACTTACTATATTTATATAAGTATTTATCGGGACAAAACTCTTTACAGTGATATTTCAATTTTCTTAGTTTCTTTGTGAAATCTTTAATATATTAAGTATATCTCTTGATGAATTGCAACTGGATTTTTGATTTCAATTTTCAATCTATAACTCGGACAAATAATTTATTGCCTAAAATTTGTCGAGATTTGAAAATCTGAACTATATATGAATTTCAGGATAAGGCAATAAAATAAAAATAGGCACTATTTTAACGTTCTAATTAATTTGACAAAATTTGTTATATAATTAATGTATTTTGCAAGATCGTCCCCGTTGTGGGTAGTGGCGCCATCTATTGATTGCATTCAAAATTATCTAGCCCACTGAAAGACACCGAAATCGAAAACATTCCATGATTTGTGTACGGTTCAATAAATTAATGATTTAAAGGCGTTTCATGTGTGAAGACATGAACTCTAGGTTTCCATTCCTAAAAACTGCTAAAAGTTAGAAAGGGGGAAAATATTTTTCTCCGGTTTTGAGAGCCAAAATAAAAAATCGAAGTTAATAAACTAACATTATATATCAGTGTTCTCAACAAGAAGGGAATTCCCTAATCAGCTTTTCATTTACCTGTTAAGTGTTTTAGTTTGTGAATATAAATGCCTACTTTTGTTCAAGGTTTGGTATTCATCAAACTACACTCACTTTTTGTTGTTTAATTTATGAAACACGTTAAAAAATATAGTAAATCTAGACAAACTATACATATATATTTTTCAAGTTTTCGTAAGGAAGGAAAAAATGATTTTCTAGCAATAGTGAAAGGGCGGCATGGGGCAAAAAGGTTTGAAAGCCTCTGTCAAAAGTTAACAGTAAAAATAAGAAGCCATAACAGATTGAACTGGAAAATGGTTTGGGATGTTATGCTAAAGTCCTAATAAGTTTGCACAAGCTGCAAATTAACAAGGAATACACAGTACAGTAAATATAAATAAATAATCAGTACAGTAAATATAAATAAATATCAGTACAGTAAATATAAATACAGTAACAAGGAATACACAGTACAAAATAAGAACGTGTAGCAAAATACATTATGTACATACACAATACATACAAGTGCGGTAGTGCAAAGTACAAAATTTACGTCGTGAAATTTAAGTTATTCAGAAGTGAGCTGCTTATTATTTATCCTCATAGAATATCTCATGTTCAAACAAGCTGAAGTCTCTTAGATGATAGCAGGAAGTACATTTATTGAAAAATTTTCAATTGATTTTATTAAGAAACTTGTCAGTATAGCACTTGGACATAAAATTTGTATATAAACGTTGGTTTTGTATTTCTGTTTGTTCAACTTTGGTGTTTTGTATTTATATATTGTTATTGACATGTACTTTACTTTTGCAATTTACTGCTCGTGTACGGCTAATCTCATAATTTTATGATTTGGTTAATGATTTGACCAAACGATAAATAATAATGTGATAGTTACTGATAGTTTATATGTGGATACTTTTCATTTGCGATGTTTTTACTGTAACCGTATCTTTCGAAAATTAAATTATTCCCATAATTTTCCTCTTTCGATTTTTGGGCCGTATAATATCGGTTAAAAAAAAGGGGGGAAATGCACGGGTAAATATTCTTCTTCTGAGTGAGCAAAACCGTTGTAGTTTTTTGTGTGTTGCTGTACTTTCAATCACTTCAATATTTTATCGAAATCGCACTAAAAATTTATTTTTAAAGAATTGCAAGCTTCACTTACTTATTGAGTGATTTGGGGCAGAAGGATACGATTGATTCTGCATATTTAGAAAGAGAGATATAAGTTGAAATTATCTGCTGAAATTTAAACAAACAAAGAATAAAGCTTTTAATAATCGAAAGCAAACTTTCTTTGAGGCGCGATGATGGCGTACTTTAGTTTTTTTTTTTTTTTTTTTTTTTTTTTTTTCTCCTAGTTTTAGAAAACAATCATGCAAAATCGCCTTAAAAAAAAAGACTGATAAATTGTGCTAAATTTTTTATCTTGTAAATTTTTGTGCATTTTGTATTTTGCAGTTAAATAAAATCAAATTTTGCAAGTTTTCAGTTTTATTCATTTGAAGCTTGAGTATTAGTTACCTTAAATATGAGGCACGTTTTTACTTTTATTATAGGAAAATCACAGCCTTAGTCTACCCTTCAGAATAATTTCCACTTACATTAAGGTATTTATCGTATCATTTGACAAACTTCTAAATTCCATCTTGAAAAAAAGAATCATTCATCTTCGTTTTTGATTTACTCAACGTAAGCACAACTTATACCCAGCCAAAGCACGATTATTTAAGTATATTGTCGCAGTTTCATATCCACTTCCTTGAAACTTCGTTTAGGTAAAGAGGAAGCCGTAAAATGTCTGTTTTTTCAGACTTTTCCATCAACTTTCTGCATTAGGTCATCATTAATGACGGACGGTTATCCAGTTCGCCTTTCCCTCTCATGCTTTAACGGTTTCATTATCATCTGCAAAGTTTCCTTATTTTTCAAGAGTGTTTTAGTTGAAATTGTGACAAGCTTAAAATATTGAATGAGTAATCACTTTGAGTACCAGAAATGGTTATCAAATCAAGCAGCAGATTTTTGCAACGATGAAAGTGGGAAGCTGTTCTACGATACTATAAGCAAAGAACGTCTATGTAAAGAAGAAAAGTCTCCATAGACGTAATGTAAACCAGTTTGTCTTCTACGCCGCTAGAAAGAAGAGGGAAAATTCGCCAAAGGGATTTGGCGACGGAACCTGTTGGTGAGAATTTACCCTTTTGGGATGTACCGGACCTGGCCGAGATTTTCCTCCTCCGTCACGTGTACAGGAACTTGAGGAACACGGATTAAGATGAATAAGAAAATTAGCTTAAGTTTCACTTTCACTGCCTGTTGAACTTGCATTATTACATATCGCAGTTTGATGTCTGATTTTATATCCGTCAATATGTTGGGAAAAAAATGGAGTCACACAACTTTAAACTCTTGATAAACGTGACTGTCGAACCTGTTCGAACTTCGACATCAGCTTCGAGCTTTGACGCATTTTGGCGGCAGATATTTTACGCACGCGCAGCTGTTTCCCTTATCGTTCGAAGGGAGCCACTCCTGCTGCTGCGAAGCTTTCCTTCTTAACAATACATATTCTTTGCTATAAGTGCTTTAATATAGATGGAAATTATATTGTACTGTAGATTAAGGCTTTGAGTACCAGAAATGGTTATCAAATCAAGCAGCAGATTTTTTCAACGATGAATTTCAGAAGCTGTGCTACGATACTATAAGTGCCTTAATATAAA